GTCTTGATTCCTTTGTATGTGACTATTGATGCGTAATTCGCAAGTCGGCTATTCCATGTGCCAACATACAGTTTGCATAACTCATTTAATGTTCTTTACAGTAATGTTAAACCACATGTAACATCTTGAGCTCATGCTACATTGTTTGCGTGCGCTGTTTGTAATTTCAAATTTAAGCGTSTTTATCGTAYACTTGTAACAGTTGTAAAGGAATTGAGAAGGTCTTAGTAAAGATGCAACTAGTTTTCCTTATCCGAATCTTGTGTTTTCAGTGTGTTGAAGAAGAGATCGAATGATCTCAAAAATATAATTGACATTTTTAAAATGAAGTTTTGAAACTCCTTTAGGATCCAAGTACAACAAATATCAAGAAATTGCGTTTGAAAACTTCCTTGTGGCTTTGAGTATTGCTTGATAAGTAACACTTGAGGTTTAATGGAGGTCYATTTTGCCCACTTTTTTTCTAAAGAGTTACATCATTCAATGCATGTACTGCTACTTGAAGATACTAGTTCTAATATAAATCATACATGAATAAATATATTTCATGTCCAATTTTGTATTTTCAGAATTCTCTTGAAAGTCTCTTAGAATGTTTTGCCAAACTTGGTACACAAAGCATTCAATTACAACATTTCAAGRCCTGTACACTGGACAAACAAGCATTGAGTACACCAACCTCTATGACAATACAAGCATTTGCAAACTCTTTGTCAAGGTATTTCAAGGTAATCATATTGGAATTCAATTCATTAATTGATCAATGGAATTTTATCATCGACAGATATATTTAATTTGTAGTGTCTATAATCATACTTACATAATATGCAGAAAGATCCATTTGCCTGGTTTAGTTTACTAAATTAGACTAATTAATATGCATCAACAAGTCAAGAAGATTATTGAGTGTCTAAGGTGATAAACTATCCAGCATGTCCTTTATCTAAAGCTAATCAAAAGAAAATATTATTTTACTTATATATTTGTATATAATTATATTTTTAGAACTATAAAGCTTTTCTATCTGAAATTGAAAAAGAGATTATCAACAAAGGTATGGAAAGTTCCCTCCTATAAAGCAGTCAATGATTATGCCAAGTATACACCCTTTTAATAAGTCCCGAGGTATTGTGTTYTCCGCACTTGACGTCAAATTTATTCTTTTGAATTCCTTTTGTATTGTAAAAATTTCAAAAGAATAAATTTGACGTCAAGTGCGGAGAATTCAATTACTCGGGACTTATTGAAAGGGTGTATAGTCCAAGCCCTCTTAAATTCACCTTGATAACCACCAAGTGATAGGACTATTGCTAGATGAACTGTGTTCAAAAATGACCCCTAAAGCTATGAAGTATGACCATTTGTTAATTGTTTTCTTTTCTTTTGTTTGTTTAAATTATTATTACAGTACTATTCATTTATTTGATACTGATAAATACAATGTTATCTTTGTTAGTACTATGTTATCTCATCAAATGCTTTGCTTTCCAAACAAGTTTTAAAATTTTCCAGTATTTTAAATGATTTATTTATTGTAATGTTAATATTTCCTATTTCAGAGTCAACAGTCACTTTACTTAATCTCTATGACAGACTTGGTGTTAAAATCAAAGAGGTACGAGAACAGATGTATAACAAATGGCAAAATTTCAATATATAATTATAGTATTAATAGCACTGCATGTAAGTGATAAGAGAAATTTTTGAAACAATATTTACTCTGAATTTCCTAATTTAAAATCATGCATGTATTACTCTTAAGAGTTCTCTAGAAAATGTAAATGATATTAATATTAATTGTCCTTAAGGGCTGTATTATTGTTAGCTGAGAAATATTGCCTGCTTGTGAGATTAGCAATGCTAGGTTTATTCTTAAAGTTAACATCAAAATGCGGGCTATTTTAAACATAAAATGTTTGCGAATTATGTACTATAAGTTTATCACCATATTGAAAGTATTATATAGTGTGTAATAGTATTAAAAAGACAGTATCATTAACTGTTTATTTTACTGTAGATTGGTACACTTTATGATGTCTATATGAGAGGTATATTGGAACAAAAAGACAAACCTTTACCACAGGTATTATCAAGCTTCATGCAATGCTCAATACAATTTATAACATTAATACGCCACAATACAATACAACAAAATTTCATAAAAATACAGCCAATACAACCAATACTTGACAGTGTTTGGTTTGATGTTTTATTAAAAATCAAACAAACAATTGCCCACAATATTTCTAAAAAAAATCAAAGTTGTTTGCTGTCAGTTCAGCAAAMTTTATTGYCGTGTACATGTAAGTCAATAACATGACAAGACAGTAAACCAGACACTTTGCCATATATTAAGTCAACCTTAATATATTCATGCCTGACATTGTACCATCAATATTTGTTGATTTCACTCCATGGATTGTCTAGAGAGTGGCACACCTGTTGGATACAATTTACAGTAATCTAAGAGAGGCTGATGCACTTGGTGTATCTCTGCAGTGGAAGGTTTGTTCTACCAAAAAAACACTAATAATAATTTAATTAATATAATCATTTGATGTTGCACCATACACAAAATTATTAATTAAATTATAATATTGGATTTGATTAATTCTCAATTGACAGGCCATTGCTTCGTAACATCTAGTAATAGCTAAACTCAATTTTTTTGGCTAGTGCCTTGGAATAATGCTCAAGCCACTGTACTATCACACTTTTTCACTCCAATATGTTGCAGCTATTTTAATCTTAGTTTGAAGAYGTTTCAGAAGTAAATTTCCATTTTCTAAGTGTAATATATGCTGCTATAGGACCATCTTACCCATCCCTCACACATACAATTACATGTACTGTACCTACAACTGATTGTTTCCCCCTCACCTCTGGAATTCAATTTATATAACTCGAGGCTTCTGATCCACATGGAATGGTACTTAAATTCATTTATATGACGGTGTTCAAATATAATCATGTGGCTGTGTATTTCAAGATGAAGACTGAGGGGTCACAATTTGTGACATTTTTTTCATTAACCTACAGTTGAATCTCCCGTAAGTGGACACGCTTGGGAAACGAAAAAAGTGTCCGCAAGTAGAAATGTCTGTCTAATAGAAAGGGATCTTAAAACGGCTAAATAACGTCAAATATTCTTGTTTAAAGCATTCCTAATGATTAATGGTAGCGATTAAGATAGTGTGATTCAATGGTTAAGCAATTTATTTTACAAGTACTCATATAGAAGTACTCACTTTGAGAGAGCTTTGTTTTTCTCTAAAGGCTGAAGGCCAGTAGAAGTAAGAGTTACTGTATGAAGAAGGACTCCTCGATGCTCGTATTGTTTATTTTATTACGATAACGATGCAGAAGTGATTCTACAAAACAATG